ATATGAGATGATAGATAGCCTACGAGGCGCGTAGCACCGAGTTGGCTATAATCATCTCATATCCAACAAGTGCGAATGGAATAACTGTTTTATTAAAAACGTTAAATTAAATTATTAAATTATATTAAATTTTTTAGCTCCCTTTTAATTTTAAGCTGATGCTTACGCTTATCATATTTGTAGATTATGGTATATTGGCTCATATACCATAATGGCTAAGCCAATAAAAAGTCTTAAATTGCATTATCCAATGATCCAGTTTTTAATAAAAAATGTTAGTCTTTATCAGGAACCGAAGTTGTTTCATAACTGGTCTATCTCATTGTCCGATGACTCCCAGTATCTAGTTAGAATGTAATGATTTACATACTCATACATGCGACAATACTTTATTCAAGAGGAAAAAATCAAAATTACAAAAATATATCTCAAAAGAGGATATCTAGAGGTCAACCCTATATAAAAGATTCCAGAAGTAAAGAAATGAAAAGGTAACCGGACAGCAATGATTCATCATCAATCAAAATTTATCACCACATGATGTAGTTAACCTAACTAACATGTTACAGATGCAAATAGAACACTTAAACCTTTAAAGTTCGTGCAGCATTTAAAATGTTCCACCACCTTGGAAATTGAGAGAGCTACACAATGTATGGTAATCTTACCTGTACACTGATCTCAATGTACAGAGTGGAAATACGGCTCTCATTTCAGAGGCAATCTTGATATAATCATCATAGCTTCAAGGTAACATAACTACTAATGTATATGAGCACGATCCTTCGCAGTAAAGCACTATTTGAGCAATAGTGAAAATCAGACCTGAAAAAAAAAATTTCAGGCCTGTACGGGATTCGAACCAATGACCTCTGCGATACTAGTCGTACAGGCCTGAAATTTTTTTCAGGTCTGATTTTCACTATTGCTCAAATAGTGCTTTACTGCAAAGGATCGTGCTCATATACGTCTCATAACCGCAATTCACACATATGTTTCATATGTTTGTTGTTGTTTGATAACTACTAATATTTGTCAGCAAACAAGACAGGTAAATTACAATACTCACACAATAGCATCTGAACTTATACAGCAGCACAAGGACAATGGTGAGAACCAGAACAACACCAATCACTATGAAGGCATTTGCTATTGCCTCTCCAGCCTTCCTTGCCTGGCTAATGTCTCCATCCTCGTGAAATGGTGTGTACACACTAATAAATAAATAAACATTTAAGTTGATTGATTAGAAAAATGGCCACCAAAAGGCTTTTATTAAGCCCTCAATCAGAATAGAATAGAATAGAATTTATTTTTACGAGGGTAGCATGCGACAGTAGTTAAACTGATGATCCTGTGGCCCTCTCTAAATAATCCCAACCCATCCCACCCCAGGGGAGGACATTCATCACACAGTAATCTCGTGCATGAGAAATTAACGTCTCCTACCCCTAATCCTGCAGGAGATGGAACCTCCATTTATTAGTCCCTGTCCGAGAAGACTAGAATATATAACCAGTTCTTGATGTTATAGAAAGGTAGCAAATTCTTCTAAATTATTTTAAGACCTCCTGCACAACAGTCCAGCGCTCTATCCATTGAGCTCATTCAGCTAACAAACAGCTGATAAGGGGCACACAACAGACAGCTAGCAGATTGCTACAGGCAGCTAACAGTCAGCTAAGATATACTGGTAACCATCAGTTAGCTGAAGGGCTATCAACACATGGTTGCTCAACATTTTCTCAAGGAGATCTTACTTAACTTTCTGCCAGCAAAAAAATTTTCACATCTTTGCACTGTTTCATTAAAAATTCTATCAACATGCCATCACACTTCACCAAAGACACCATCAAATTGGGTTTAACATGAGAGCTGACAGTCTGTTACTTCACTGCCCTTTGCAAGAGCTTCATTAAGGAAGGATAGACCTTGCCCAAAATAGGATTCTTTTTTTCTTGTTTTTCGCTTAGTACGGATGATTAACGTACTATTAAAATTAAGCCAATTTGATCAGACTTGTTTAAGTTCTGCTGTTCTTGCCCATTATAAATCTAAAAATTCTATCTTTCTGTTATTTATCTACATCTATGCAAAGGAATCATAAATTTAGGGAAAATCGGTTGAAAAAGAAGATAAAACAAATAGGTCTTACGGCTGAGTAATAAACCTTCCAAACCCATGATGAGTTGTCCGTACCGAGTACTAAGGTACTAAGCAAATTCAGAACAAGCCGTGATGACTTGTCTGTACCGAGTACTAAGGTACTAAAGTACTAAGCAAATTCAGAACAAGCAGTGATGAGTTTTCCGTACCGAGTACTTTC